ATATATGTTAGTATATGATTATGTTAGTAGTTCAGATCGATTGGGATTTTGGATTTGAGATTGGATTGGATTAGGATTTAGACGTACATAAATCGAACGAACGTCTGTAGACATAACCTGCGAGTCTTCACTTTTACATATATATGTATAGTTACTAAGTTCATTACTATTGTCATGTTGAGTTACTGTTTGTTATTATTATAATCACTGTTATGGTTTATGGCTCCTTTCTATTTATTATATCCACTTTGGTTATTCATTGCTGCTGTTCCCATTAGTTGAATTTTTCAAAAGTAGCAATTTTTATAAAGCATCAGTTGGTGTTTGTTATCCTCTCAAGAGAACGCCTGATGAAAGTGTTTATCATTTTTCTAATATTCTTCTGATTCACGTTCAGTTCATTTGTTGTATTACAGAAGCAATAGAAAAATGGAGAACACCTCTTCATCGCCGCGTCGAGTGCAGAAATTCATCGTGAAGAAGAAACGATCAATTGAGTGCTTCGCTGATGCACAAATGCAAAGAAAATCGGAAACTGAAATGTTCGTTAGATTACAAATCGCCTAGCCGTGCAGTTTTCGCAGTGTGTTAAAAAGAGATTAGCCTTGGGCTTAGCCTTAGGCTAACACTTCGGCTTAAGATAATGTTAGGCCTCAATCATACGCTCACACTTGATACTGGGCTCAACCTCCCGATACTTTTCTATTCAAGCCGACTTTCCAGTGGAACCTTCTGAATTGGATGGTTTTATTGGTAGTTCAAGACTGGATTTTAATTTGGCGACTGGAATAATTTTGGAACCTGAAAATTTATCCTCGTCTTACAAAGATCCTTTTGGTCGCTTGTCAATTTACTGGCTGTAAATTATTGTAAGACATGCATGTTTCAGCGGTGGAATTCAGTCGAAATCTGCGAGTAAGACATTGATTATGAGTGATCCGCAGAATATCAGCGTTTCAGCTACAGTATCGTTAGGAGTGAAAAACGACGTTGATTTACTAAAGGTTGTTCTCTTTACACTTTTCATAATATCCGAATGATAACCGTTTTTGGTGACGATACCAACTTGACAACACTTCTGAATCAGAAAATTGACAGAAATTTGTAGAGGATTATGGGAAATCAGCAATTTGATAATGTATGCTGACAAATTATTATAGAATGATAGCATTTTGCATGTTCGATATAACTTGTCAGATGACACTACAAACGCTCATTTCAGATTGCAGAATGCCGTTTAAAATCGACGAGCGATGATATCAGTAAAGCGTTGCATTCATCAGCGTCACAACTTCACAAAGCCCAGCCCCAACAAGCCATCATCCAAAAAGCGAATATCACCAACGTGGACGCCACTCAAAACTGCCCTCGACCTATCCTCGTGGTGCACCCCGCGCAAAAGTGCTTCTCACACACTGCAATCCGAACATTTAAAACACTCGCCGATTCAACAAGCACTAATGATAACACTGCTGTTAACACAATTATCCAACTAAATGGTGATGAGATTAACGATGCTGAAGATGATAAGAAAGTGAGTGTTGACGATTGGATTGGTGACGCTGTGAATGGAAAACATTTCAAAACGACTGATAAAACTGATAATATTGATGGTAATATTACTATCAGTGACAATAACGGTATTGACGCTAACAATAACAATAACAACGATGCAAAATCAACGACAAAATACGAGTCGCATGCGCCGATGAAGTCGACAAATCCGTCAATAACGAAATTCACACTCTCAAAGGGATTATTTTCGGTGCCGAGCAGATTCAGTCGTGACACCAAGAAAGAACTGACATTTGAAGTAACTGAAGCAAGCAGCGATCGACTGCAAAAATGGAAATCAAAATTGCAAACCGGTCGAAGACATAAGGACACCAGTGAACCCCCACCTATTATTAGGTCAATTTTTAAGTGTTGTCAGTTTGTTTTTGAGTTTTTTTTTTAGATTTAATATTTTCTTGTTGAACTAATGAACCAATCTCTTAACCTGCTGAAAGCGGTAACTCTGTAATTCCGCAACTGTAGTTCTGCATTTCATCATTGGTTGAGCTAAAAGCATCCTTTAACGATGCGCAAATTGATGTGCCTCTGAATCGTATGTTTATTCATTCACTAGTTTTGTAACACACAAAATTTTGTTGTTATTACTACATTACTATTACTATCATTACTATTACTATTGTTGTTGTTACTACATTACTATTACTATCATTACTATTACTATTGTTTTTTACACTTTCGATTCTTTTCCAGGAATATGCTCCCAGTTCCGGATCAAACCAGAGGGCATTCATCAGATGCAGAGGTCACGGTTGAATGGGCACCCAGTGGTTTTGTACCACTTCAGTCGGTCAGTTTACACGAAATTCAGACAGCACTTTCCATCCGATCCACAATCATAATCATACTGATATATTGAGCAGTAAAAAATATTGACACAACGGATAATATAATATCCTAATTNATAATATTATTGATAATGATATTATTAATGGGATATGATAATACAATAACATTTTAAAATAATACACTTATTATAATAACGGTGCATAAATGAAGAGATACTTTTGGAAACTCAATCAAAATTCGTTTGCTTTTGTTTTTTTTACGTGAACAAATTTGATTATCTTCTGGAACAGTCGTCGAATTAGTGTTCACAGTTCCTTTAGTGTTTTTCAACACTTCAAAGTTAAAATCCTCTCTCGTAATGTATCAACGTTCCATTTGTTAATTCCCACCTCTTTCTTAGGTCATTATGTTGCCCTTAATATGTTTTACGCACTGCTGTTGTAATCATATTCCAATTGGGTCGTTCCTTTGATTATTTGAATTACCAATTAGGAATCAGATCAGATGAATTGAAGAGTGGTGTGAATTGATACGTTGGTGTGGTTCTTATTTTTGTTGGTGTTTGAATCGGTAATGGAAACTGCCAGCAATATTGAAAGATTTTGTGGAGTGGGATTGAAACGTCACGGAATTGAAATGATTTAATTGAGGGCCATTATTTTACGATGTGCGTCTGAAAGTATTCTCTGAAGAACACCGAATTCACTTTCAGTCCTCATCTCAACGATTCCTTGGTACGGGTAATGTTAATAAGCGAATTTCATTCGTAACACAGATAATGCGACCTCGACTATTGCAGCCCTCACGTTCATCAATTGATGTTATGAGCTGTACACAACAGACTCGATTTACTGATCGTTTTCTAAATGAGTGAGTCAGTTTAAACTTTATTATCGCTTTCTTATTTATTTGCTCAGTTTATTTTGAGCACCATTGATTTGTCAGTTATTTGCATGATGAGTGCATATTTTTATGGTGGCACGGGTATGTGATTTGCCTGCACAGTTCCATAGTATTTATGCAAATAGTCAGAAACAATATCGATTTTGATATAGTTGGACGATTGTGAATGTTCAAGTTTCACTTATCATTATTATTATAACTATTATTGTTTATTGTTATTGAAATATACAATTACTGTCACTGTTATTGGTATCAAAATTCAATATATGTTATTATTGGAGGAGTCCAAAGGCGGTATGAATACAAAACTGAATGTGACAGATTGCTCGGTGCTGGATTAAGGCTAAGACATAATTCTAAGGGATCAGGAAGGAGTATATTCTGGTGAGACGAAGAAGAGCACTAATTAAGACTTTGTTCTGCACAGATGTTGCTCTTGTGGAGATTACTTATGGGCTATTGAATGTGTTTATATTAGATATACTATTATCGTTATATATTGATATTCAGAGATGAGAGATCGTATTATATTCTGTTTCTGTTATGTTATATTACGGATATATTTATGAGAGAGTATATAAATAAAACTTAATACATCCGTTCACTGTATATCCATCNTCGTCATTTTTTATTCTCGTAGTACGAGCGATTGCTCGACTGACTGATAACCAATAGAGTGATCAACTGATCGTGATCAGGGTCAATATCGCTTAAGTGATTATGCAGAGCCGATGCTGGAATATATTATAATTCGGAAATTTGGCTGTCAACTATTCTTAATTATATCATGGACTTGGGATAAGCTGAGCATTTTCAAGTAGTAAATGTTTCTAACCGAAGAGCATATTTATCTACAATAGCACTTCATTCGTTTCGTTCAAGTGAGGATTGTTTGTTTGAGGGTTCATAAGGAGTGAGGTTGATGGTTGCAGATCGAGTTCGGGAGAGAATGGTGAACCAATGAAAGTGCAAGAGTTGGTGATGAAGAAGAAGCGATCGAACGAAGCATTTGCTGAGACGAAATCATTGTTCGAACGAACGACTGCTGGAGAGGGATCAGCGGGCTCAGGAACTGCGACGAGAGCGGATGCTGGGATTGGGACACAGATCAAGACGTGAGTTATCGTTATTATCGTGTTTTGATGAGTGATGTTATCCTTTTTGAGGTGTTTAATTGTGATTTGATTCAAGTTTGTTTGCATTGCTGCACAATAATTCACTCGTACATTTCGCTGATTCAGTGACTACCTGACAATATATTCGTTTGATCGGTAGCGGTCTTAATTACTTCGAATTTGCTACGTCGTTATATTTAACTAATGCATTGCAAATGAACACTTGTCTTCTGAAATTTGGAAACTTCTATCTTCTGCGCTTTGGAATCTTTTTTTTTTTGTA